CGCTTTTCGTATCTCTTCTTTCTCAATTGGAGTTGTTAGTCCATCGTTGATCTCCTCCGAAACCAGAGCCGGGAAGCTATTGAGGATCCTCGTATCAAAATGCCCATCCTTGCTAGTGAAGAGGTCTCGGTAGAAATCATTGACATGCTCATCGAGTTCCTGGAAATTGTCAATCCAATCCCCATTAGCATCCTTGAGTTTAAGGATGTGGTTTCTATTCTTTCTTTTGATTGTACTAGCGTGGAAGAACCCTGTATTTTGGTCCCCTTCCTACATCCAAGGAATCCTAGATCTTTGAGCCCAGAAACTCTCCTCCAAGCTCCACAGTGCTTCGAGTTCTTGTTTGAGGTTCTTCTCCTCAGTGACCATTTCCGGGGATCTGCTTGGACCTTGTAGAATTTGTAGTTTGTGTCTTATTTCCTTTTCTCTCTTATGTTTGTTCGCTCGATCATTCCTTGCCCAATTTTGTAAATCAACCTGACAGTCACCCAGCATGTCCTGAATTGTCCCACCACTGATCCATCGATTATTGACAATCTGACAACACTCCTCACTTTCCCTCCAACGTTTTTCAAACCTGAAGGGGGTGCAAGGGGAGTGTCTCATTGGGTGGAGATCAATCCTGATCGAGCAATGGTCAAATTCCATGAAGTCTTTGTGATAAATAGTAGCCGATTCAAACTCTGTTCTCCATGAAGCTGAGTAGAGAGCTCGATCGAGTCTTTTCCTGATCAAGTCACTACCCTGTTGGTTATTACTCCATGTGAAGGCTTGGCCAGAAAAACCGAGATCCACCAGTGCATTCCTAGCGATGAAATACTTGAAGGGAGCCACATTCTCATTCCTTAGGGGACACCGTCCCTGCTTTTCAAAAGGGAAAACAACAACATTGAGATCTCCCACTACTAGCCACAAGTCTTCCTAGTTTGCCCTTAAGATCGTAAGTCGATCCCACAGGGCTCTTCTCTCTACCACCGTGGTAGGAGCGTGGACAAAAGTGCAGAAAAACATCACCCCATTCCTACTGATACTAGTGTCAATGTAGGAATTACAAGAGTCTAATATAATCACTTCAACATCATCCTTCCACCATAGACCAACATATTCCGAATGATCAAACTTCATTGCTCTTCTCTTCCATAAATGAGTTATCTTTTTTGGTTTCCATAAGAAAGAGCATTGAAGGGCCGAACTGTCGGTAATGTCTGCCGCAGTAACTTCTTGTAAGAGGCTGGCCGAACCCCCCTACAATTCCATCTTAGTAGTCTCATTCTTGATTTGGCGTCTTGAGGCCTGCCACCGTCGCCCTCGGAGTGTTTGATTCTCCTTCCCCAGATTAGCATCCTTCCGCCGTTATTTTCGCCAAGCTTTTCTTTCTGGTAATGTGCCTCCTTCTTTGGTAAATTCTCATGTTTTCTCCTGGAACAAAAGACAGAGAGTCAAATGAGAGGTTAGTGGGTGTTTCCTGTTGTTGTAGTGAACTGGTAGGGCTTTTCTATTGTCGGGTTTCCTCTTCTTCTCTGGCCTGGGCCTGTCTTCCTCTCTTGGTACACTGATGGGGTCTGCAATCAAGCACTGAGCTTGGGCCTGGGTAGTGAGCACTTGGGTCTGCTGATCCACCACTATCGGGCCTAAAGACGTCTCTGTCGGGCATATGATGGGCTTGCGAGTGTGAGGGTCTGGCCCATCTTGAAGAGGCCCGCCATCTTATCTTTGTTGCCTTCTTTATCCCCCAGGTCAAGGCTTCTCTGCATTTCCCTTGTCGCCGCTTCCATCTCAATCTCTAGGAAAGCGGGTTGCACTGTGGGGGCGGGGTTTCCAACTTCGCCTCTGTAGACCCAGTATGTGCCCCTCCCAGTGCCTGGCAAGATAGCGTACCCTGGTGGGCAGGTGTAGGATCCCTCACTGGGTGACCTGCAAGTGTGACCTGGGAAGACTCACCTCTAGGTCCACAGAGCCGCTGTGTCAGTGAGCTAGGGTTTGTCAGGCAGCGCGAGTTTGCCAGCTTTTCTCTGAACGAGGCCGGAGGAGTGTTTGCCGGTGAGTCGTGACCCGCTTTGAGCGCGTCTGTGTACACTTCCGGATAGGTCGATGCAGAGTCCCCTTCTTCTGTGGTCCTCCCTTTCAAGGAAGTTGTGAATCAGATGCCCAAGTCTCCCGCATAAATAGCATAAATCCATGATTCTCTCATACTTGAAGCTGGCCCATATGGATCGGTCCCCAATGGAGTATTCGAAGCCAATTGGGATGGGATCATCAAGACTGACTTCCACCTTAGCTCTGTTAAACTTCAGCCAGCCCCTAAATTCAAAGTTTGACTGATCGATACAGTGGAATTGGGGAAAGATGAACGCAGCAACCGCTTGAATGGCCTCCTCGTCTTTGAGGGATTGGGGGAGGTCATGCATATAGACCCATAGGGTGATTGTGGATATGTCGGAGGGTTCCGCCTTTTGCTCACCATCCCACTTCTTCAGGGCGACCAGGGTGTTGCTCTAGTTCCACGGTCTGGCATCCCACACTGCATCCCTTTGTTTGGCTGATTGGAATGCGTACACAAAGAGGTTTTCTGCTTCCTTAGTAACTTGGACCTCCGCATAGGCTCTCCATTTGTTGACTGCCGTGTTCTTTGCTTTCGAGAGGTTGATGCTGGCATCTGTGATCCACTTTCTTAGCAGCATTGACATGTCGCTGCCTCTTGCTCCTACAATGGTCGGCCTCACATTCAAGACGAGGTGGCTTTTCTCTCCTCTCAAGCTTTTAGAATGCATCTCCATCTTTCGCTGTTTGCTTTTGGTTGTCTTTCTGGTGACAGGGATTGTGTTCGGGTTCCCGGATATTTTTTGGAGCTTGTTTTAGGGTTGTTGACTGTTGTGTGGGATGGTGAGCAACCTCCCAATTGATCTTCCCTTTTATAGGCCACATTTCCTTTTGGCAGGTGAGTGATCCGGCTCCTTTGATCAATGAATGCACCTCTCATTAATTGCTTCCACTCCCCCCTTTGATCCGCCTCTTTGTCGGGTTACCTCTTAATTGCCATTTGTGGTAGAAGTTATCAGCCGCACTATCCCTCCTTTTATTCTCCCTTTCTTTATGAACTTTTCGTGTAGATTGCAGCGTGCAGATTTGGACAGTGCATTTACTCCCTCCATTTTCCTTCTCTGGGTATCTGTACTTCAGGGTGTGGATGGAGTAACTACTAATGATTGCTGGGTAGCATCCCCCCGTCTCTTTCTCAGGTGCTCTCTGGCTGTTAATTCTTTGTGGCATGTTGGGCGACTGGGGTTTTCCCAATTGATCAACATTTATTCTTGCTTCCCCAACCTTCCAAACTTGAATGCCCCCTGTTCCTCCCTTGATGGTTTCCTCTCCCAGTTGACCCTTGATTGACATTTTTTCAGGTGGTTTGGGCGGCGGATTAATGACTTCCCTGCATTCTCCCTCTGTAGTGTCATTTCCCCTATTGGTCGTAGGACTGGTGTGAGGTAGCCCCTCTTCAATTCTGCGTATCTCCTCCTTATCTCCATTGCGATCTTCCGTGATCTTCTCATTCTTGTTGCAGGATCCAGATTTGGGAACATTGAAGGCTCCGCAGAGGGCAGCTGTAGAAATCCTCGAGTGGAGGGCTTGGGAGAAGGTGGGTAGAGAGAGACATCTTCAGCGTTTTATTAAAATAATTCTATAGATTAGGTGGGTGTACTAGAGTTTGTTTCTACTTGTAGTATATACACTTTGCCCTATCGTCGTCAACAAGTCACAAGTGGTCAACACCCCAAGTATAGTTAAGATGGTGCGGTTGAGTAGTCAATATTATTGATGACGATGTGTTTACAGCTACTTAATATTATATATCTGGTAACTGTATATTTATGGCAGAATGGGTATGTAGAGCCCTAATACAATAAAAATAAAATAAATAACACTTGTAGCAGATGTGGCGCTTATGTAGACGATAATTGGTGGCATGTCATTAAGAGTCAAACATATTTTGACTTCCATTAAGTCAAACTAAGTTTAATGGTCAACAAAAAATTCAGAACACAAATGACGTTAACCCTAATAGGTTGGAATATTAATGCAACTATTAAAGTTACATGATCCAATTTGCTTAAGGTTGGTATTTTTAGTGATATTTTTTATGATTTCTCACAAATGCCCCTCCACAATTTAGTGGCAGCTCTATAGTGGCTGAAGTGGCAAAAACCCAATATACACTCCTGTATATATATGACTATATGTTGATGTTGATGATCCCATAACAGTCTATTTATGTCAATCTAACCATGATGAAGGAGACCATTTGAGTTGGATACCTAGGAGATTTGTTTGTTTCTATTAGACATTGCAATGAGTTTGGTTAAGTCGAATTTTTCCAAACTCTTCATTGTTAAATAAATAAATAAAATAACCATTGAATTTTAGAAAGAAATTCCATTATTCACAGGTGTATAGGTGTGCATGAGTTCATGGACATCACCGTTAAAAAATTCTTCACAACACCCACTTTTTTATATTATCAATTTTTTTTCATGAATATCTTTATAAATATATATATATATATATATATATATATATATATATAAATATATTACCATAAATATTAATAACATTAATAAAATATTCATATTAGTAGGATTACGATTATATTTCATAAAGACTAATATATAACTTCTATAAATTATAATATAAATAAGGATAAGATACAAAACTATAGGTGCATGCACGGTGGAAGGCAACCCGAGTTTGGGCAAGACTCGCGCCGAATCCCTACCAGTAAATTCCAAAAAAAACAAGTAAAATCCACACCCGATTCAAACCTCGTTAAGATTGGATTTTACGATTTGACCGAATTAGATCATATTGGGTATTCACAGATTGGGGTTAAGCTAACATCCCAATAGAACACCGATTCTACAATGGTAACAAAATGATCATGCCAAATGGTTTCCCCCTCTCTAGTCTACGCTCCGTGCAAGGGTTTGTCCTGCTGCAGTCGAACCTCACCGCAACGTGCCGCCTACGCTCTTGTACCTTATGTCCTTCACCTTGATCCTAGAGGCCTTGCTGGGGCAGTTCTTGTTTCCAGGGCAGTAGTTCTGGTCGACGACGATGGGGTTCTTAACGCCGTCCATGACGACGTGGTGAAAAAGAACGTTCCTCACAAAATCCAAGCTGGGCCGGGCCCAAGTCTTGATGTGGAGCCCGTTGGTTGTCTCCTTGAAGGGGACCCTCTTGACCGTAACATTCTCCACACCGGGCTCCTGGAACCTCCAGCCCAGGCTCCCTATGCTAATGTCGTGACCCGGCCCACACCCCACCCGCTCGATCCACACGTTGCGGGCCCCCGGGCCGATGGATATGCAGTCGTCGCCCGTGGAGATGGTGGAGTTGAGGACCGTGACGAAGCTGGATTTGGCGACGTGGATGCCATCGGTGTTGGGGCTATTCCCCGGGGCGTGGACGGTGATGTGCTGGAGCTTCACGTTCTGGCTGCCGGTGACGGCGATGTGGAACTTCTGGCTGTTAACGGAGGTCAGCCCGTCGACCGCCACGTTGTTTGAGTTGGTGATGTGCAAATTCCTAGCGCCGACGGGGAAGTCCTTCCTTGCGTGAAGCTTGCATGACCAGAGTCTGGTACCTTGTCCGTCAAGTATCCCGCCAGAGATCCTGACGCCGTGATGGAGCTACTAGGGTTCCGTCTATATGCACCGTGATGTCGTTGCTCTTGCACGGCCCTTCAAACGCTATGTCTCGGAGGTGAAACTCCCATGGGATACGTAGATAGTGGAAGGGTTTGGGTCGCTACATGCCTTGTTCCTGTCAAAATATCAATGAACACAAGAACACACAAGATTTTTTTAACGTGGTATCGTCAAGATGACACTAGTCCACGGAGAGGATCTCCCTCTCAGGTTTTAATATTATGAACGGCCTTCCACCTAAGTGCTCAACAAGTTACAATATATAGGGTCTGCTACAAGCTGCCCTTTAGGACACGGCTTCCGTATCCTATTATTACAAGGAGTATAATTAACACCCTCCCTCAAATTGATGTTGATTTCGTAACATCAATTTGGAAGATAGATACCAATGTCTACTCGAGCTAACTGCCTTGGTCAATAAATCTGCAGTCTGATCTTCCGTCGACAAGTGAGCAAGTTGTATAACACCTTCTGCCACCAGTTGACGTATATAATGAACATGTACCTCGATGTGCTTAGTCCTCTCATGCAACACTGGGTTGACCGCAATCTGAATCGCACTCGTATTGTCAGCATAAAGTCGCATAGGCATACGACACTCAATACCCAACTCGAGAATGACTCTTTGCAACCACACCAACTCCGAACTAGCTTCAGACATTGATCTATATTCTGCTTCCGTTGAGGACTTCGACACCTTATCCTGCTTCTTACACCTCCAAGAAACGAATGAGCGACCGAGTCGAATACACCATCCTGAGGTTGATCTCCTTGTATCCAGGCATCCCGCATAATCTGCATCAGCAAAAGCTTCCACAACTGCCTTTCCTTCAGACGAGAAAAACAAACCCACATCTCTAGTGTACTTGAGATAACGAAGAACTCTGTGAACTGCATCCAAGTGAGGAGCTCGGGCAACACCCATGAATTGACTGAGGACTTGCACTGAATATGAAATATCAGGCCTAGTATGAGTTAGATATATCAAACTGCCTACTATGCTGCGATACAAAGTCTGATCCTCAAGAAGCTCACCACTGTCCTTACTTAACTTAAGATTCTGCTCCATAGGTGTTGCGCATGGTTTACAATCACCATATTGAGCTGTGTCTAGAAGATCATCAATGTACTTTCTCTGACACACGAATAGTCCTGACGATGAACGCTGAACCTCAAGTCCCAAGAAGTAAGACACCTCCCCCAGATCCTTCAAGTTGAACGCATTATGTAAGGATCGCTTGAGATCATCGATTCCTTCTCGATCACTTCCACTAATCACCATGTCGTCAACATACAAGAGTAAGACAATAACTCCATTGACTGTATGCCGAATGAATAGTGATGGATCATTCTCACTCTGAGAGAACCCTGCCTGGATAACAGTCCCATGGAATTTCTCAAACCAAGCACGAGGAGCTTGCTTGAGACCATATAACGACCTCTTTAACTTGCAAACAAGATCTGAACTGCCCTTGGGATATCCTGGGGGACACTCCATATAGATATCTTCCTTCAGATCACCGTGTAAGAACGCATTTTTCACATCCAGCTGAACTAGAGGCCAAGAATTCATAGCTGCTATAGCAAAGACTAACCGAACTGTTTGCATTTTAACAACTGGTGCAAACGTTTCATCATAGTCAATGCCATATTCTTGACGAAACCCTTGTGCAACGAGCCGTGCCTTAAAGCGTTCCAGCGTACCATCCGGGTTCATCTTTATTGTGTACACCCATCGACAACCAATGACGAGCATCTCTGGTGTTCTACGAACCAAATCCCAAGTATCATTTGCTTCTAGAGCGCTAGTCTCCTCGTTCATAGCTTTATTCCAGTTGGGATCATCTTTGGCGGCAAGATAATTTGATGGAATCGGGATAGGTTCAGTCGAATAGCCTATAAAATCATGGTACCTTAGTGGCATCTGTCCTTGTGTAGACCGGTTCGACTTTCGCAGGACTGGAGGCGGAGAAACTTCTTCAAATAAAGGTTGTTGAGAGTGGGTTGACGAATGATCAGATGTGGACATGCTTGGCCCAGAACTGGCCGTCGAAGAGGTCATGTGCGGCCCAGAACTAGGTGACGAAGAGGAGGTGGAGGAATTCTGACTTGTAGCGGACATTGAACCAAAAGTAGAAGTGGTCAGTTGTGGTGACATATGACTTGATGAAGTACTAGGAGTAGAGCTCAAGGTATGGGACGAGCTCCCTCCCTCACTATCAGCCGGCATGGGAGTTGGAATAGGGACATCAAAATGTGGCAGTGGTGCCAAAAATTGAAGCTTCGCCACATTCTCCTCCTTAGGCAAGCTTGAGAAAAACATAACTTGTTCCAGGAATACAACATGGCAAGAAATACGTACCCGTTGTGATATCGGATCATAACACATGTATCCCTTGTGTCGTTCACTATAACCAATGAAGACACACCGAGCAGTTTTAGGTTGTAATTTGTTCCGTTCACGTTTATGAAGAAGAACGAAACATACACACCCAAAAACCCGCAAAGTATCATAATCAGGAGGCTTGCCGAACAATACTTGATATGGAGATTTATTTTCCAAAACCGAAGTGATTTGTCGATTAATCAAATATACCACCGTGTGTACTGCTTCTGCCCAGAAGTTTGTAGGAATGAAAGAGTGAAACAGAATGGCTCGTGTCAATTCCAAAACATGACGATTTTTGCGCTCAACCACCCCATTCTGTTGAGAAACTCCAGGACACGACTGTTGAGATATAATGCCATTAGTTTTGTAGAAAGACAACAATGGATTCGAACTAAACTCACCCCCAGGATCAGATCTGATGATCTTGATTGTTTTCTGAAATTGGGTCTTGATCATCTGAATGAACTCAATAGCACACGGAAGTAAATCTGACTTCTGTTTCAAAAAATAAACCCAAGTATATCTGGATGCATGATCGATGAATAATGCGAAGTATCGAAAGCCGAGACGTGAGGTGACTGGGGACGGACCCCAAAGGTCAGTATGAACCAAATCGAACGGTTCGGAATACACTGTCATACTCGCAGGAAATATAGACTGTGTAGCCTTTGCCTCAATACAGCTCACACAGGGCGAAGAAGAAGAAGCAACCGAATCAAGCTTAGCAGGTAAAATATTTTTCTGAAACATTGTTAATAACCGCGCAGAATGCGGGTGACCGAGGCGAGAATGCCATAAATCCCATACAGTTGACTTCGACGAAAAATCCAAAGAACGAACCAAAAAACCAAAAGAATCCGAAGAACAATTCGTCGTAGCAGGAGAACAAAAATTATAAGTACTACTATTATAATCCGAAGCACCAGCATCCTTCCCATCACCGCCCGACGCCGCAGCAAGCTCATCGAGCACAAAAATTCTGCCTTCCTTACGACCTCTCCCTATCACCTTCCCGGTGTTCCGCTCCTGCACCACACACCCATTCGGATTAAAGACCACATCACACCCGTCATCTGTTAATTGCCCAACAGAAACCAAATTCGGAACAAGTCGAGGAACATAATAGGTGTTGGCAAGCTTAACCGAACCCGAAACAGCATTCCCAAAACCATGAACAGCTAGATGATCTCCGTTGGCCACTTGTAGATCCAAATTATTAACCGGTTGCAACGTAGAAAAATGTTGACGAGAGTGTGACATATGGTTAAATGCAGCGGAATCCAACAACCAACGAGAGGAGTTACCTGAATTGGATGCAGCACCGGTAGAGAAAGCAGAAGAAAGAGCGCCAGGAAGCACCTCTTGCAAAGCTTCTTGGACAAGGCGCCGTATCATATCAGGGGAGACGGAGGTCGGGCCAGGCGGAGCGGATGATGAGGAAGAAGAGGCTGCCGAAGGAAGAGATTCAGGCTGACCGGACACAGCATAACCAGGTCGGTTCGAGGTGGAAGGAGGTCGGCGCCCTTGCTGACCGCGACGAGCTAGCGTCGGACAGTCAAAAATCACATGACCCGTCAGCTTACAATAAGAGCAAATGTTACGTTTCTTGCAATGGGGTTGAATGTGACCAACTTCCTGACAAAAATGACAGGTCACGTTACTGTAGTTACCACGCTGGAACTGAGGACGCCCCGAACCACCTTGTTTCCCAACCGCGAAGGCGGAAGAATCACCAGCAGCTGCGGGATGATCAATACTAGCCTGACATTTAAGACGAGTCTCCTCCCGAATAAGTTCAGCGACCACTTCATCAATGTTGGCAACATTACGATGAATCAGAGAAGCACGGATAGATTCAAACTCCGGACGGAGCTTCATTAGAAACTGCATAAGACGAGAACGATTACGCTCTTGCATGACTTCAGCCGAGGCCACACTCGAGTACAGAGAAGCCGTCAACAGATCGTGTTCAGTCCAGAGATGAATACACGCATGATAATAAGTTCGAATATCCTTGTCACCCTGAGAAAGAGTACCGAGTTCAGTTTCCAGCTGATACTGACGAGAAGCACCAACTTGGGCATATGTAGTACGGATGTGCGTCCACATCTCAGCAGCCGTTGAAAAACGACGAAGGGTGAGGGCAGTAAGCGGATCAACCGAACTAGTAAGCCAACTAATTATTTGAGCATTGCCCGCAGCCCAATCCGCAACATCTTGGGCAGCAGCGGATGCACCAGGTTTAGCCAAGGTACCCGTCAATATAGGAAGAAGACGTTTACCCTCGATGAAGTTGCGGAATTGAAATTCCCACAACGCAAAGTTCTTACCGTCGAACTTGGTGAAGGACGAATCAAAGCGAGAGGAGTCCATAATGAAAGTAGGGAAAAAATAAAGGTTATAAAAGAGATGCCCACCGAGACAAGAGAAAGCCTCGCAACCAGCAAGGACAATAATAAGAACAATAGGTGCGCCACAAACAACAAGTGACGCGAGACGAAACGGCCAGGAACAATAGCCAATAAGCAAGGAAGGCAAGCAGCAACGAAGAACAAGCGGCAGACGAAGACAGGCCGAACAAGGAAGC